TTTTAAGATTTATAATCTGAACTGAACTGAACTGAAATTTTCAGTTCAGTTTCAGATTGGCCTATAATCTAGACTGAGCTGAACCGTTTAGAGCATTATCTATTAATTGAACTTCATCTTCTTGATTAATTTCAATTTTAACATTTTCTTCAGTAATTCTACAAATAATAGATTTTACATTATTATTAATTTCAACTTTAATATACTTTAAATAATATAAACATTTATACTCAAAATATTGTAAACAATATTGATGATAAATATGACTATATGAAAGAGAAATTGGTATATGAGAAGTAAACATTGATTGTAATATTTGACAAGAATTTTGAAGATGACATCTTTTTAATAGATCAAATAATGAATATTTTGATATGAAAGCCATTGGTAAATATCGTTCATCTACATCTATATCAAGAGTTGCAAGATGGCATAAAAGCTTATTTTTACCACGTTGATTAATTGTCCATTTGCTTTTTTCAACATTATTTTTAACTTTTGTAAATAATTTTAAAAGAAAAATAGATGTTTTGTTAGTTAAACCTACTAAATCTTTTTTATAATAAGGATATTTTTTTGCTGTAACAAATGCATTTTGAAACACATTATCATGATAAAAATAATTGATAATATGTGCTACTTTTGAAAGTTGTTCATATGTATCTGTTTCTCTTGTTTGTTATCAAATTAATGAATGATAATTTTCTACAAAATAGTCATTAAATACTGCAAAATAGTTTTCCAGAACTTCAATAATAGGATGATTAATATTTTCCTAATACCAGACATCTGAAAGAAAAAATAATAGTGCTTTGTTATAATTTTTTTGTGTAAATAAATACCATATTCTCACACAAGTCTTAATATATATCTTCTAATTGCCTGATCTAAAAATTGTTGCATAAATATTTAAAACCAAAGGAATAGTGTTATCTAAAAGAGCTTTTAATGTAAGATATTTAACATCTCTAGAACAAGATGGTTCAATCTTTTTTTTAATATATGGAGTAATATTTTTCCAAGCATCTGATATTAATTGTAATAAAAGATTAATTCTCCAAAAATGAGGTTTGTTAGCAAGCTTTTTCTTTATTCCAAAAATATATTTGTATGCAGAATTAAAAAAATCATAAAATAATAAAACAACAGTTTCATAACTATTAAGAAATACATGTAAAGGTCCTATAATTGAAATAAAAGAAGAAATACACTCTGATATTCCTGTTTAATTACTCTTCTTCAATTGTTGTAATTGCATAGTAATTGCTTTTCGGGAATGTATTTGGTCTGATTAATCAGCAATTAATGAAATAACATTATATTAAAGATACTCTCAAAATTCTAAAAAGGATGTAAATGTTTCTATAGCCTTAATATTGAATGCAAATCAAATTTGATAAAATCTATTAATAATGTGTTTCTAAGTTACCGATTTTTCTATTTTTCATGAATATTTGCATCATAGCAATGAATAGTTAAATTATTAAATAAATCATCTTCGGAGAAAGTAAGTTGTTCTATAAATCAATCATTAAATGATTGAGAAAGCAGAACCATATGATAACTTTCTATTTGAGAAATCAAAGAATTGCCATCAACAAGTAATGGGTTATGTATACTGTATTGGTTTACATCTATATTATATACAATATTTTTTTGGAATTGCACTTGCTGTTGATATAGGAATAGCAAGAATGGTAATCATGTGGGCAATGGTACTGGTAGAGGTAGTTGTTGGCATCTGTAAGCCATGAATGTTATAAAAGTCATCAATATTTACAACTATTACATTTGTTTGATATTTTATAAGCTCTTTTGTAACATTATTCCTGTGAATTAAAGATATAACATTTTTCTCATGCCAATTTTCTCTTAGCGTGAAACTTAATTGCATATTAGATAAGGTATCAATAGCCCGATCAGAAGTATTTGAATTATTCAAAACATTGTAATATCTTTTTTAGTGAGCTGATATGTTTATTTTCAATTCCTGTAAGAAAATAACACAAGAAAGAAAGTCCTTTTTGTCATTATGCGATAGTTTGATCCACAAAACCTCTAACACTTGGATTGATCAACTTTTCAAGCATATTGAAGAATGGTCTAAAACAAGAATCCTTAGATTCCATATCCTTCCAGAGTAACTTTCAATCATAAATTGGTAATATCTTTTCTTTTTTTTCTCTTGCATAAAAAATTTGTGTCATTGATCTAACACTTTCAATAAAATCAAACTCACTAATCCCTTATTATCTCTTATTTCTAATACCTTTGATGACAAATTGATTTCTTTTATTAGCTTAGGTTCACCATCATCAGAATCAAATCTTATAATTGGGTTATTATCAGATTTCCATCACCTTTTTATTGTAGAAGGTCCAACGGTATCATTTACAATATAGTTCATGTAATGGTTATGACAAAATTGAGTAATATTTAACTGCCAGGTAGGGTTCAACATTTTGTGCTGTAAGGCTTTGCATTTAGCGTTCTCTGTAAATCTCCAAAACTTTATTTCAGACCCTTCTACTTCACAAATAACACATGGCCTGACAAGTTTCTTTTGCAAATGCTTATTCAGAATTTCCATTATTACCTTCAGAATTGCCTGTTGAAAATTGTGTGATTAGCGAGATTAGTTTTGTCAAAATATTGTAGCGGACTTTTAGAAATATAATTGCAGTTTTTTTTATTATTACATAAAATGATTATCAGGATTTTAGCAACCGATCGTATTACTTTAAACTGTATAAAAAGTGATATTATACAATTTTGTGTAATAGCCAATTATACAAATGTCCAATATGCTTATCTCGTATTTATATAATGTCACCCAAAATTCATGTTTATGTTGAGTGTAGGATGATTTCATTGTTTTCCATAAATATCCAGCAGTCTTAGAAGAATATGTTATGCAATCATACCATTTCGATTTAGCAGATATATTCCTTTGGAAACATCTTTTTGAAATAAAATGTATACATTCAGAGTTCCTTTCGCTCTTCTTTGGTAAGGTCTAAAATCGGAATAATTTTCTCAAACAATTTTTTAACGACCGGACTTTCTTTCTCTTTATTTAATAAATGCTCTTGATCGGTTATTGATGTTTTAGTTCATCCAGCCTTTTTATTATACTTAATTTTTCAGTGATTGTTGGTAAAGTGGTAGAGGTAGTCAAGAAGAGGAAGTAGCTGCAGTAAGTTGATGCCCCCACTGCGTTATCAATGACGAATTGAACTTTTGTTTGTCATGTTTGTTTTCTTTTTTTTTTTGTTTTAAAAAAGGAAAGACATGTAAAATGAGAACATATGAACGAAAAAGAAAATGGAAAAAAAGGATTTAAGGTTTGGGAATTTCTGGCACAATGAACATAAAAAAAAATAGAAAATTGGTTTCCAATTTATATCTTTTTTTTTTTATTAAAAAAAAAAATTTAAATCGATTTATAGAAAATTCCAAAAAAAAATTTTAATGAGAAGAATGGCATTACAAAACGTTGGATTTTCACAATATAAATAAGAAAATTCATTAATCAGTAAAATTATTTATTATTTGTATTATTTGTGAAATGCACTTGACTCATCTGTCACTTTGTCAATAGCAGAAACAAAATTCAAATCCAAATCATTAGCCAAATAAAGTATAGTTTGGTCAAATCTTTGTTGAAATCATTGAATGAATGAAATTTTCAGGATAATTGCAAAATAAAATAAAACTAATCCTTAAATCAGGCCCCCTTTTTTTGTAAACAGATTTCAAACTGAATCATTCTTCATACGGTATGTAGCGAGATTTTCAATTTTAAGAATTGCATGATGAAAATAATCGGTCAAAAGAACAGAAAATTTGCACACTTTATTTAGAGATTTAGGAATTATATTTTGAGAGTTAATGGAAATATTAAGGGTTTTGATGGGTGCTGTTATCCGTTGAAACATTTGCCATTCGTCTAAACCTTTGTTACCTGTTGAAACTTTGCGGCTTTAACATTAACATAAATTTCTTTAAGATAATTTTTTTTTTTTGTAGTAAAAATAGTAAGTAGGATTATTACAATAAAATAAAAAGTTTTTTTTTGAGTGAATATTGAAATGCCTGTCAACATTTTGCCTCTGAGGTTATGAATAAAGGCGTTACCTCTTAACTTAATCTTACGCTTTGGAGAAATTGGGCATACAGGTTGATAAGCCACTATCATTCACAGTTCTTATTTCGTTTATTAACATTTCATTCCATTTAAATAAAAATTTTTACATTTAACGTTTTCAAAGATTTTGGAATCACGTTTTCTGTAAGCTTATAAATCGCTTATTGCGTTTTAAATTCATCAAATCAGTCTCATTCAAAATGATTTGATATTTATTAATAGGGACTCACTTATTCTCATAAAAACGATAAAACAAATACTGAATGACTTGGCGAGAAGGTATATCCCTTTATTTTTTATTTTTTCCTTTCTATTCTAACCTGCATTTATATATATATATATATTTGATTTTTATATTACTTTATTTTAATGCGAATACAGTATTATAATATAACGAAATTTGAATGTAAAATCATGCGTTAGCTAAACGTCCAAATATGAAAATATATAGCAGAATTATTTAAATTGCATATAGGAAATTCTTAAACCGGATCTTCCAAATGGTTTGGAATATAAAAAAGCAATCGTTGGTTATCTTTGGGAAATTGAAAAGGTAAGTGTGTAAAGACGATTTAATTATCGTGATTTTTGTGGAAGTTCTTTTGTCGATAGAGACTTTATTAAACATTTAAGAAGAGAACTCGGAAATGAAGCTATAAATTTATTAAGAGATAATTTCTATGACAAACGCAATTTTTGATTCACGACAAATTACCATTTACAGGAGATATTCTTATGAAATTAACCTTGAAGAAGATCTCCAGTCTTATTACATATGTAAGCGGTGAAAGGAGACAAAGAATGAATGGTCATTAAACTTGATTACAATACAATCAAATTAATGTTTGATCCAGTCGTTGAAAGAAATTTACGAATGATGTGTACTAAAATTGTAAATACGATAAAACTTCTGAAAAAAGGAAGATTTATATAATTTTTTTTGGTGGGGGGATTAGTCAAATAGCATATTTACAAAAGCGAATTAAAGAAGAATTTTTCAGGTCATAATATTACAATATGATCGCAACAATTTCTCGTGACACAGCAATCTATATGAAATAGATCAACTCAAATGGGTTAAAGGGACTTTTACAATTATAGGACATTCCGAACTTTCTTGAAGAATAAATCTATATGTTTATTTCTCGTGTTTCATGCACTACTACTATTGGAGAGGATCAAAATCTATAACGTTAAGATTAGCATTTTCCTCGACGAAATCTTAATAAATTTGACTGTGTTCCTGAATTTAAAATTTGTGGCGCTCCCCATCATTTCTCGACTTTTCCATTTCTTGTTTCTCGTGACTAAATAAATCAATCAGTAATGATTTTTAACAATTGCATATATTTTTTGCGCGTAAATATCAAAAACTAAGAGACTCCGCTGAATTTATGGTTAAATTTCTAATAGACGAAACCAATACAACGTTCTAAGTGATAAAAAAAAGAGAAGGTGGTGGTGGAGGGTCAGACCAGATTCAATCAAAAGAGAGTCTGACATCCCCAACAGATGCCATAGGAATAGTATTATTCTGCTAGGGCTTACTCTTGTGCTTCAGAGAAATTGGGCACAGGAATGCACAGTCTCAAGAGGATAATCCCACCAAGAGATACCACCAAGACTTAGAACATGACAGTGCTTTTACTATGCACCCCTAGACCCCACAAAGTTAATAACAGGCAAGTGACAAATTCAAATGACACCCACCTAAATCAATAGCCTGATACTTCAATATTGTTATCAAATGTCCTCTGAATTTATGGTTAAATTTCTAATGGACGAAACCAACGCAACATTCTAAGTGATAAAAAAAAAAGGTGGTGGTGGTGGGTCAGACCAGATTCAATCAAAAGAGAGTCTGACATCCCCAACAGATGCCATAGGAATAGTATTATCCTGCTAGGGCTTACTCTCGTGCTTCAGAGAAATTGGGCACAGGAATGCACAGTCTCAAGAGGATAATCCCACCAAGAGACATCATCAAGACTTAGGACATGACAGTGCTTTTACTGTGCACCCCTAGACCCCATAAAGTTAATAACAGGCAAGTGACAAATTCAAATGACATTCACCTAAAATAATTACTCGAAAACCACTCTCGTCTACAATAAAGGAGACCTTTGTGCTTTACCATACTCTTGAATAAACAACCTTTGAATTTGAGTGATATTTCTAATGGGAGTGATTTCTTTAATAAACAAAGCACTTTGGTTGACAGTTCGATTTGAAAATTTTTGTTTTTCTCTACGAACGTGCGAGTAAAAATCTCGAAACGATATATGTAAAAATAAACTTGAAACTCGAGAGAGAAATAAATAAACCAAAACTGTTTACACATTCATTTTTATTCAGAAAATCACGTGTACATGTAAGGAATTGACGTCATTTTAATTTTTGAAATTTTGGCCTTTGGTCATCAATCCCTAAAGCGGGAGTTAATCACGTGACAGGCTTAGACGACAAATCAAATTACGTAATAATTTCAAATCTTAGTTTTATATTATCTATACCATTTTATAAACATTCCAATTGTCATAGTATATAAAATTCAAGTAGTTACACTTAAATCCAAAAAAAGTTAATATAAAAATAAACCTCATTTTATTTAAAAAACGCGTTAAAATTCTTAATAGATAAAAGGTGTTTAGATAAAATATAAGCCATAGTTATCATTATACTAACATTCAATATGCCAGAATTATGATGAAATCATAAATTATACTCCACTTTAAAATTTTGATTTAAACGTATGGAGTTATATTATCTACTAAATTTGTAATTAATTTTACTATATAAACTTGAATTTAACGCCAGTATTTTTAGTGTTATCAAAAAAGGAATTATCATGTCATACTATTCGAAAATCGATTAATTTGTTATAGCTTAACGTTAATAGCAATTAAAAAAAAGAAAAATTACATCATTTTATATAAAAAATAAAAAGAAGGTAAAACTATAATCGACAGGATAAAGGTTATTGTCCATTTATCGTTGCTTTTTGATCTCGATTTATTTGATATTGTCTCTTCCTCTCGGCCTTTTCATTTTCTGGGATTTTACGCCACCAATATGAGACTAGTTTGCTATATTTAGTCATTGACATATTAGGTGGTTTCCTTTCCATCATTTCTTTACGATAAGAGATGAACATATTTGGTTCTCTCTTTCGTTTTTTTTCTGAACCTAATGATGTCTCTGGTATAGCAAAAGGGATTATGATTAGGTTATTGCTCATTATTCAATAAATATTTATAGAAATATTATTTGTATACAGGTTAATGAGGTTGATGAAAATTTGCGAGAAATGAAAAATGAAAAATATCTTATTTATTAAATTTTTTAACGGATATTCATTGCCTTTCAACTTCCGAAGCCAAGCACCACATCACTTTTCTCGATGATATTATTACGGAGTTTTGGCTTTATTATGATACCATTTAGTCAATTCAATAATGTTAAACCGTTACAAAGAATACTTTTTAAGAAATCATTCTATTGTGAAAATTATCAATCAATAAAGGAATAAATCATACCAAATAAGATTCTGTATGAAAATTGACGCCACATTGAATGAAACTTTAACATTTTCCTTGTTTTGCATGTTCGTCTAACAATATTAAATTGCTTGCTTATTGTTACCCCCTTATGTTAACACGACATTGTCTCTCAATGAAAATAGAGTATAAAATTTATGTATGATAGGAAAATGAATCCGAATCCAAAGCATAATCAATCTTACTAAGGACGAAATATGATATTCGGAGTTTGAGAATGCGCGTAGGTACGACGCGTGTTTATCATTTTATGTCAATAACACGACGGTTCAGACGATTGCATGCTTATTTCTAGAAGTATAAAGTCCTCCACTAGGCTTCAGACAATTAACAAATTATAGTATCATTTAGATTTTTATTAACACGGAGAATCAAAAAAAGCGGAATTAAATGAGCTGAACAAGATAACACAGTTCACGCATTTATTATCTGAGATAAGGTTGCCGGGCAAAACCCGGAGGTTTCGACAGGCATCGAAATCGAAACCCGTCGAAACGTTTTGCCAAATTTTT